CTCACTCACTAATTTTATCATCCTATGCAATTCAAATTCAAAAGTCGTTGGATCCATTTTCTTTCATCTAAACATGCAAGGATTGACAACCTTGATTTGGCCATCGGATTGCAAATGATATGCATATATGAGAGCCATAATATTTCTCTCGAACAGTTTCCAGAAATTCAGCCAGAATTGGATGATGAACACATGGTCTTGGTCATTTTGATAACAGTGTCCACAAGTTTAGCCGCCATTGTCTTTGCAGTGCATTGATGCGAAAATGTCATCACCATATGAGCCGATATGATTTGCTTAATCAAATGATGATGACCATGTTAAAAGTATGTCTTTCTGATCGGGGTAAACTATCTACGAAATCTATGAAGATATTTTAATATTATGTACATTATTATTTGAATATTATAGAGATTTTTATATATCGTTAGGAAAGATCTCTAGTATAAATATGCATGTAACATATTAATCTATTCTATTAAAACAGAAGCACATTTAGTGATTGCATCCAAACATTCCTAAAGTTTTTTTAATAATATTTTATTTTATTTTTATATTTAACTTCGGAAAATTAGTTATTAATTTAGATATTTTTAGATTTCCTAAAATCTAGGTCATCTTTAATTTAAATTTCAAATTATTAGAAATTTAATTAAATTTAGTTACAAAAATTTGCATTCAATCTAATTTAAATTCAAAAAATTCAAAAAAAATTATAATTAAATTTTATTACAAAAATTTAGATAATAATTTTAATACTTTAGAATTTCTTAAATACAAGAAAGATTTAATTTACAATTTTAAATTTAAATAATAATTTTATAAAAATGCATAGTAAATAAATACTTTATCGTATTTTATCATAAACAATCGGTCTAAAATATCAAATATTTGAGATTAATAAATATTTATATTCTACAATAATATGATCGAGCTGATTAGAGTTATATATTTAAGGTTTATGAGTTAATTTATTAAAACATGTAAGATATTAAGATGATTTGAGATAATTAAACTAACATTTTAGCCCGTTTTTATATATATATATATACACATTTTTTTAATAGCACAAATAGTAAATAAATATCTTATTATATTTTTCATAATCAATTGGTCCAAATATTCCATATTAGTAAATATTTATAGGGTTATACAATTATAATTATAGTCTTATACGGGTTAATTTGTCAAAACATGTAAGATATTAAAAATGATTTAAGACAACTAAACGGATGGATTAGCAAATTCATAGATATATAGATTGTTTATATGTAAATCTAAATTCACATAATAACAAAGTTTATAATTAACATTAGATCAATTTATACTTAATTAACGTATACTCTTGTTCTACTATATACAAATTTTGCTGTTTAAAATTAAAATATGATAACAATTTTTTAATTTAAAAAAATAAATAAAAAAAATAAATTATATCTAAACAAAAAAGATAAATGAAACTTATATTAGAAATAAAAAATAAAACATTCCCGTGCGGACGCACAGGATTAAAATCTAGTTATAATTATGAGAGCAATATATAATTCTTCCAAACAATTATGTGTTCTTCTTTCATCATGAATACTTGAATTTGATTTTCACGACGAACTTGAATGGTGTAAACACTTGGCTTACAAATAATATCTTGGTCCTTCTATAAAAACTACTTCTTATCCCATTTGTAATGTATGAAGAGGAAGATCGACATATCCAAAGGGATATTGTTCTCTTCGATAATTGACAAAATAGATTCTCGAACATTTTCGATAGTATATTATCAATATCATATGTTATTTTAGTATTTTTTTTACATTTAAACTACTATACAAATTTTGGTTTAAAATCATCAATTAGTAAGTGTACTATTTTTGCATTGTTGATAATAATGCATCTTCTGTTTATATATATTGTACACATATTCATTGTTGATAAGTACTTGAATCCAGATTGTCAGCATATATGTAGCAAACTTCTGTTGATGATTTTTTTTAAGATATATATATATATATATATATATATATGAGATGGATAAAGTAAAGCTAAAAAAGATTTTGTAAATTACAATAGTCAAATATAATTTATAGCATATTTGTTTTAAATACTCATTATATTGATTATAGTTGGAGGTTGGACAACAAAATTTTACATTTTTGTGATTTCAAACCTCCACACACTGAAAAAGAAATAGTTAAGAAAATTTTGGACAGTTTGAAGGATTGGGATTTAGAGAAAAAAATTTTTTCTCTATTACTTTGGATATGGATGATAGTATCCAAAAATCCGTAAGCATGCATGTGAGAATAGATTCTTATGTGATAACAGATTTTTATGATTAGTGATAACAGATTCATATGTGATTGAAAGTTCTTACATGTGAGAACACTACATTAATGAAGATTGAAATTTTTCCTAAATCGAGAAGCTAGACTACCGAGACAGGAAAGGTTGAAAGACAAGAACGGTTGAAAGACAAATACGAATATCACTAAGTCAGCTTACAAGACAAAAAAAAAACATTCTCCACGTAAGGGAACCTCAGTTATGCTCATATCTTGAATCTCATAGTGAAGAAGGACTGGAACTACCTTTTGATCTTTTGGAGAATAATGTCAAGTTTGTGAAAGCATATAGAGCTCGGATAGATTCATTTTTGAGGTGTGTTTAGTGTAGAATTAAGAGTGGAAATGGGTTGTATTTTGGTATATGTACTCGATGGAAATCAACCTATGAAGTGCTTGCTAAAGTTCTGAAATTTTGTAGCTTAAACGTGACTGAATGGAGTTACAAGTAATCGCCTTCATAAATTGAATGGGATCGTAAAGAGAAGATTTGTGTCTACTTGAAACCTTTTAGTACCATCACCACTTACTTTTCAGACGTAAAGTATCCTACCGCCAAGGTTTAGTTCACAATTTTGATGATGAAGCATTGCAGCTGAGGATGCTATAAAATTGCAAGTAATCATGAGTATGAGATTATGAGGAGATGGTGATGAGGGATTGCAGATTTTGGAGATGGATTATGAATCATGAACTATGTATAAGATTTGGAGATGTGTCCTTTCTTTTTACTTATATAATGGTACTTTTCATTCGTCATGTTTAGTACGATATCTGTATATTTTATTTCTAGTATATAATGGTATTTATTTCTTCTGTTGTGTTTAATATGATTTTTGTATGTTTTCGTTCTGTTTCATAATATTTGGTGTTTGTTTCACTGTATAAGGTGTTTACATATTTTAATGCAAATTTTGAATCTATTTAATGATTTACTAGGTGTTTAGCCTGCGCTTTGCGCAGGTGGAAGAGTTTCAAAACTTAAAACAAAACTTTATATTTTTACCAAATAGAATTAGAACAACTAAATGAGACATACAAGATCAAATAAAACTATCATACAAAAATAAAAACATCTAAACTTAAAAACTCAAAAACCAACTAAATGATTTTTTTTGTCTACCTCTTTTATTTTTCTTTATGTTTTAGTTTTTTTTCTTTATCGTTTTACTTATTCTTCTTCATCTCTTCCACATTTATCTTTCGTTCTTCTCTCACACCATATTCTTCATTTTCTCCTTAATTCTCTATGTTTTTTCTTACTTTTTTTTATTCTTCTTGTTTTTATTTTCTACAGCTTTTTCTCTTTAGGATCTTTTACTTCTTGTTCTTCTACTTATTCTTCCTCTTTTACCTCTTTTGATTTTATTATTCCTCATCTTTTTCTTCATTCTTCTTCTTCTTTGTTCACTGTCTTAGTCTTATCGACTAATTTTATTTCCATCATTTTCTTTATTGATTTCACCTTTTTATTCTCTCTCTTCTTTATCTTTAATTTTTTATTTTCTTTTCATCTTCCATAGTTTCCAACATCTTGTTCTTCTTCTCTATCGTCTTCTTTTTTTTTTTAACTTGATTTTTCTTTGTTTTCTTCTTCTGATTCTCTTAGTTTTGTTTTTCTGGTTTTTCTTCTACATTATCTTCTTTGTTTACTTTTATCATCTTTGTATTCTCCAGCTTCTTACTATTCCACATCTTTTACTTATTCTTTGTGTTCTCCTTCTTACATTCTTTTGTATTTTGGTTTTTCTTTTTTCTAGTATTTTTTTAGTATTTTCTTCTTCTACTTATTTTTTAGAAATTACAAATTTATTGGACGTACCTATATTTTTTCAGTTTTATGAGTTTGGTTATATTTTCATATTTTTCTATTTTAAAGAAAGTCTTTTCATTTTATATTCTGGTGTATGCTTTTAAATGTTGTTCTCATTTTCAAGTTGATTATCTTTCAACTTTCCGAACAACCAGTCGTTTTTGGATAAGCACATAATTTTTGTGTACATGTTTGATGTAGTGGCGGAGGCAGCTATAATTGAGGAGGGTCAATTGACCCTTCTGGTTCTCTAAAAGTTTATATATATTTGTATTTTTGGAAGGAAAAATAATTAAAATGTTAAAAATTTAGCTTAATGACACATACAAAATTTGCTTAAAAAAGACATTGTAAATTATAATTGATCCCAGTAAATTTTTTCGCTAGCTCAGCCAATTTACCATCATATCTTTTTTCATATCTTTTTATATATATGCAACAAGTCGTTATGCTCGAAGGATGTTACGTTCTTGATTGATCCCCATCTCTCTACTTATCAATTTTGGTTTCTTGGTTTTTTCTTCTTTTTTTTGAAAAGGCGGTTTCTTGTGTTTATTTAGTTCTTAATCGAAAACATTAACACGTCTTTCTCTGTTTTTGTACATCATCATAGTCTGGCTGCGCTCTGTTGTTGCTGTCTCTTGGATGCATGTTTCCGATCGGAGGATCACCATCTCCAAATTAATTAACTGGTATAACGATAAGTTAAAATCATATATAAATCACTATTGAAACCCGTTTCTTATGTCTTAAGGTAGCAAAACCAGTTGAAGCATAAGCAGTTCTTTCTCATAATATCACACGCTAAAGATATAAAAACATAAACTTTCAATAACATTCAAGGATTCCAAGCGTAGGCTTAAACACCTCCTATGAGTAGAGCTCGTTAAGTCAAAAGTGGCATTAACTAAAGAGATAGATAGTTTACAGACCTTCAATAACTGTGTTTTGGGCTTCTTGACCTGCCATGAGTCAGATGTGGGTTTTTCAGAAGTGTATTTTTAAGGGGCTCGTAAAATGTAACGGAGAAGGAAAAAACATAACCAAACCCACTTTGGCATAGGGATTACCTGTAGAAGTCCATCCCATCAATGGATTCTCCCACCTACAACCATATCAAAGGCTAATTTTACTGATACCAGAAGCTATTGGTCTGAGCAAGGCAAGCAGAAGAACAGCGACGTTTAGCATAAGACTCTTATGAGGATCCAAGAGGATGTAATTAACATGTATCTTTAGGTATTAGATGAGCCACAAGAACTATACAATAAGAGGTTTCTCAATCTTCAAGTTTAAAAAGAAATACAAAAAAAACTAAGAAATTAGGGAGGTTGAATGAAGAAAGTTGTTACTTTAAGGTGGATACGAAGTTTTCCAGATCCTTCCTCGGTAGCAGTTCTAGCAGGCGAGTATATTATCACCTGTAAATTCCAATTTTGATTAACTTAGATGAGTTATTGACCAACCGATTGACAAATATCAATCCAATAACACCATGAATGTTAGCTCAATTTCCCGGGAGAGAGACAAATTTTCGATCACAAGCTTTTCCTTACTTCAAATCTGTATATATCCTAATTCCTAAACTTAAATTTCATAGAAACGAATAATATTCTGGGATTCCGAAGACCTTACCGATCTCACCATGCTTGGAATCCGACTCAACAACCGCGTGGAGATCTCATCTATGTAAAAATTAACTACAGACCAAAGATCAAAACCTAAAACTACAATGATAACATAAAAGGTTGATATAGATAGTAGGGCAAGTTAGAGTTTAGGTAACTAAAAAATTTTCGTATGATTATAGTTGTGACAATAATTGTAATATATATGATAATTTAATCTAAACCAATTTTCGTTTTTCTTGTATTTTTTTATAAAAATTAATTTAATATAAACCAATTTTCGTTTTTATTGTATTTTTTTATAAAAATTAATTTAAACAAATTTAAGAAGGGATAAAAGGTAATTAGCCACCCTGATACTAAATGAGATATCAAAACTAAAATTTTACTTCGCTTATAATATATATGATGACCCGGTCTCTTTCATGATTGGTTGAATAAACTACCTAAAATAAATTAAAATAAATTTATTCTAAAGAATATTTTTTTTTTAATCTTTGTGTTTTCACTCAAATAGAGGGAGTATATGCTGTGTTTTACATATTTCACTCTCAATATCATTCATGATTAATTAACTTATACAAGATGTTAAAGTTTGTAATTAATTTATTCACATAATTAATACATAAATCCTAAAGGGTGTTTGCTTCAATTGCGATTTTCTTTCTTTGTTTATCGATCTTCTTCTAATTTGATTTGCTCATATTCACAACATTTCGTAATTCTGTTATTCTACTTACAGTCAGACTCAATATATTCAATTGGTCGCGGGAAGTGTCCCGATAAATATAAGGTTTGATTTGTAACACAAAGGCTTTGCAAACTGATGTGTAGAAGGAATTGGATATGGTATCTAAATAGTACCCAAAAAAATGTAAGAAATAGCGGTAAGAAAAAGCAGTACAAAATCAAACCTTATATTTATTAGTAACCCTTTACCATAACGGTAAGTCAGGAAGATAAATGCAACGGGTTACCGACTTACCGTTATGGTAAAGGGTTACCAATCAAACCTGTAAATCGATAAATGTAACGTGTTGCATATGAGAGTGGGAAGCGATGCACTGATATAAGATCAAAACGCTGCGTTTTATATCTTATTTTCCCGCGTAAATTTCTCCTCCTTTATTATCGGTCTGCCCAACAACACAGGCGAAAACCTAGCTACTTGCTTTCGCCATGGACGTAGAAGGAGAAGACAAAAGCGATATCCATGAGGACCTAATTGTTGAAGAAGATTCCATGGACGACCTCATCAGAGACCGATTCAGACTCACCGCAATCTCTATCGCCGAAGCCGAGGGTTAGACTCTCTCTCTCCCTCTCTCTCTCTCCTCCCATTTCAATCGATTCTCGAAATTTCCACATTTTGATTTTACCAATTTGTGTTGATTGAAATGGATATGGATTCAATTTCCCTTTCCGCTCTATCCGTCGTCTGAGAATCTATTTGGCTTCCCGATTTGTTTTTCTGGTGATCGAGTTCTCGATCACCTAAAATCGATTTAATCGATGGATTTTGAATTAGTTTTGTGGGATTTTCAATATAATTGATGAATCAACATAGTAACGAAGCTGCTTGAAAGTTTAATTCTACAAAGTCGAATTTTGTTTTGAGCAGCGAAGAAAAACGGAATGGAGATAGCAGCACCTGTTGTCGCATGCGTAGCAGATTTAGCCTTCAAATATGCAGGTGTGATCAATATTCTGCAACTCACTTTTCTTTATGGTTTGAAGAACTTTTCTTTGTAATTTTTTAGTATGCATTTCGAATCTTAATCTAGCTTCAGGGGAGTACATATTGGTCAAATTTTTTTAAGTAGTCTCTTGGTTTGTGTTAGGATTTTGTCAAATGGTAAAGAGGGTTTTCTTCTTGGGTCTTTATGTGTTACTTTGGCTTAAAGAATCACAGAAACATCGAACAGGAAAACGATCTACATACACAGGAAAGGATTGAATTCTCTTTACATATATGGCATAGAGAAATGTTTTTAAGCACGGCGTGTCATGTTGAGTAGGATGACTGCTTTGGTAAATGTTGAAATGCTAAATCTGTTGCAGAAGATTAGATTCAAACCAAAAATAAGCTTTTTTGGTGTTTCAGTTTAAATATAGCTTTGTCTGAAAGTTTTGCTTATTTTTCATGAGTAACAGAGAATGTTGCCAAGGACCTTGAACTATTTGCTCATCATGCTGGACGCAAAGTTGTGAATATGGACGATGTTGTTCTCTCCAGTATAAACTGTTTCTTTCTCTCTTCTCACACACACGTTCTTGATGTAAGTGTTTTGTTAATTCTGAATTTCATATACGTTTTGTTTGAAATTTGCAGCGCACAGAAATGATAGCCTAGCTGCGTCTTTGAGGTTATTGTGCAATGAGCTAAAGGCAAAGGAGCCACAATCTGAGAGGAAACGCAAGAAAGGATCAGCCAAGAGAGATGACAAAGCCAGTAGTAGCAATGCTGTTCGCATCACCGATCTGTAACTCACCCAAAATCTTCGATACATAAGTTCCTATATATGTAGATACAAAGCTTGATGAAGAAGCTCTTAAATGTCCTGGAATTGTTTTTTTCGACTTTATACAAGATTTTTTTGCATTAACTCTCTTACTTTAAAGAAAAAATCTCCGATCAAAAATAATTACAAAATCTGAGGCTGCGTATATACAGATAGATAATATCTGTATATATATGTAAATCTGCATATTTCTCTGATTGATTTGATTTCTGTTTTCTGCAATATATAATACTACGGCTAAATGAAAATGGTAAGCTCGGTTTTGTCTGAGAATACGCCCTGGTAACCTGCTGATTCCTCTCCGATGCTGCCGGAGGTTGGTTCAGGTTTTTTTTTTTCTGATCATTTTTGTTTGTTACAAGATAGTAAATTGGAATGGATTGATATTTGAGGTTTAATGTAGCAAAGAGATCCTGATTGTTTTGTGCTGAGTAGGTAATCGAAAATCTCAGAAGGAGATTGGTGCTTTAGGGATTCAAGAACAGATAGATAATGAAGTTGAGAATGATAAGGTATTTCTGTTTTATCAAATCTGTTGAAGTGTTCTGATTCAATTTCTTAGTGGTTAAACCGAGAATAAAGAATTTGAACCCGGTTGGCAATTGATTCAATAACAGGGAAGGAGAATGTCAAAGACTCTAGTCACGATAGAAGGTTTGACGGTTATAACGGCTAGTCTAGTCAAGATTAGTCATCATCTTCTTCTTTTGTTGATTCATTGTATTCTCGAGAGAGTGAGATTCTGTGTGAGAGATAATAACTCCATTGTAGCTCAGTTCGAGCTTTACCTTTCTTCATTAGTGAATTGCCGGATTGAATCGGCCCCAGACATAGGCTTAATCACATCGATTAAGTTGAACTGGGTAAACAAACTTGGTGTCTTTGTTCTTCGCTTATTCAAGTTTATCGATTACAATCTAAGAGTGAGAGGAAGAGTTTGCGATCTAGTGAGTGATCAAATCGAGTTTGAATCTTAACAAAGTGGTATCAGAGCCAGGTTAATGGCAAAAGAACTCTTGATGCATTCACGGATCGAGGTCGAAAAGTTCGACGGTTCTGGTGATTTCTCTTTATGGACAATTCGGATGATGGCGTACTTCGGAATCCTAGGTCTGAAGAATATCTTGACAGATCCAAATCTGGAAAAGGAGGTTCCGTTGTCGAAGAGTGAAGAAAGGCAACCTGAAGACGGTGATGATAAAGATCCATCAATATCAAAGATTCCTTTGACCGAGGTAGTCCCTGATCCTGAAAAGATAGAAAAGAACGATAAGGCCATGGGATTGATTATAACAAATGTTGGGAATCAAGTTCTTCGAAAGATCAAAAACTGTACGACTGCAGCTGAAATGTGGTCTATGCTTGATCGGCTATACATGGAAAGTTCTTTACCAAATAGGATTCATCTTCAGTTGAAGTTCTACACGTTTAGAATGGTTGAATCTAAGAGCGTGGATGAGAATGTTGATGAATTCTTGAAAATTGTTTATGAGTTAAGTAGTCTTGATGTGAATGTCTCAGATGAGGTTCAAGTAATTTTGTTTTTGACATCACTGCCTCAGAGCTATGATCAGCTCAAACATACTTCAAAGTATAGTAGAGACTCCTTAACTATCAAAGAACTGATCTCAGCAGTTAAGTCAAAGGAACATGAGTTCTCAGATATGCATAGAAGTGACAAGAACACTGGTGCTGGTCTGTATACAGAAGAAAGGGGTAGATCCACCTCAAGAGGATCAAAAGGCAAGAATGATCACAGCAGGAGCCGGTCAAACTCAAAGACAAGGCTCACGTGTTGGTTCTGCAAAAAGGAAGGGCATCTTAAGAAGGATTGTTTTGCTAGGAAGAAGAAGTTTCAGAATGAGAATCAGGGAGAGGCTGGTGTTATAACTGAAAAACGTCTTCACAGAAGCTTTAAGTGTTCAAACTCAAGACTGCAAGGATCAATGGGTTATTGATTCAGGCTGCACATATCATATGACTTCAAGAATGGACTGGTTCTCGGAGTTCAGTGAAAATACAAGTACTACAATTTTACTTGGCGATGATCATACAGTCGAGTCAAAGGGGTGTGGTTCAGTTAGAATTAACACGAATGGAGGCTCGATCAAGATCTTAAACAATGTCAGATATGTTCCAAATCTCAGAAGGAATTTAATCTCGACAGGAACACTTGACAAGAATGGGTACACTCATGAAGGTGGAGACGGGGTTGTGAGTTTCTACAAAGGAAAAGTTTTAGCTCTGCGTGGTAAACTGGTTAATGTCCTGTATATCCTTGATGGAGAGACTGTGATGAATGAAAACTGTAATGCAGAGATCTCAAAGGACAAGACTAGCTTGTGGCACAGCAGGCTTGGTCATATGAGTATCAACAACTTGAAGGTATTAAGTGAGAAAGGCTTACTTGAGAAGAGTGATGTTAAGGAGCTAAAGTTTTGTGAACATTGTGTGATGGGAAAGTCGAAGAAGCTTAGCTTCAATGTTGGCAAGCACAACACTGAGAATGTGCTTGGATATGTTCACGCAGATTTGTGGGGATCTTTAAATGTTACTCCATCACTTTCAGGCAAGCAATACTTTCTTTCAATCATAGATGATAAGACACGTAAGGTCTGGCTGATGTTTCTAAAGACAAAAGATGAAACATTCGAGAAATTTTGTGAATGGAAGGAACTGGATGAAAATCAGATCGGAAAGAAGGTTAAAGTCCTTAGAACTGATAATGACTTGGAATTTTGCAATGCAAGATTCGATGATTACTGCAAGAAGAATGGCATTGAAAGGCACAGGACATGTACCTATACTCCTCAGCAAAATGGAGTGGCTGAGAGGATGAATCGGACTGTGATGGAAAAAGGTTAGATGTCTTCTGAACGAGTCAGGTTTAGGTGAGTCGTTTTGGGCTGAAGCAGCGGCTACAGCAGCTTACTTGATAAACCGGACTCCAGCTTCTGCAGTGGATCAAAATGTGCCAGAGCAATTGTGGTTGAATCGAAAGCCAGGATACAAACACTTAAGGAGGTTCGGATCGATTGCTTATGTTCATACAGATCAAGGAAAGTTGAAGCCATGAGCTTTGAAAGGTGTATTTCTTGGTTATCCTCAAGGCACAAAGGGCTATAAAGTCTGGCTCTTGGATGAGAGGAAATGTGTCATTAGTCGAAATGTAATATTTCATGAAGACAGGGTATTCAAGGATTTGAAGACTGAAAATGGGTTAGTGAAGGATTCTGAGAATCTTGAAGTCTCAAGAGCATTTACTGATATGAGTTTGAGAAATGGGGAACCTACAGTGTCTTTTGAGAACAATGATGAAGTCTCAGGGAGTCTAAATGCAGGTGGAGCAGTTTTGGTTGATTCAGATGAGTCTGATAAGGAAGAAACAGTTGAGGAGAATGTTATGTCAGCTGGTATTGGTCTGCAGGATTATCAGTTAGCAAGGGACCGAGTAAGGAGGGTCATAGTGCCTCCAAAGAAGTTTTCTGAATCATCAGAAGTAGCCTTTGCACTTGTTGTGGCTGAAAGTATTAATGTTGAAGAACCGAAATGCTTTCATGATGCTCAAAGGGATCGAGACTGGGAAAAATGGTTTAGTGGTATGTCTGAAGAAATGAAATCTTTAGACAAGAATAGAACATGGGACATTGTTGATAGACCAAAAGATAAGAAGGTCATCAGCTGTCGCTGGCTTTACAAGAAGAAGCCTGGAATCCCAGGAGTTGAACCAGAAAAGTACAAGGCTAGATTAGTAGCTCGGGGTTTTACTCAAAGAGAGGGAATAGACTATGAGGAGGTGTTTGCACCTGTAGTTAAACATGTCTCCATTCAAATTCTAATGTCGCTTTTGGTAGATAAAGACTTGGAATTAGAACAGATGGATGTTAAGACAGCTTTCCTGCACGGTGAGCTTGATCAAGTCCTGTACATGGAACAACCTGAGGGTTTTGAGGTGAATCCAGGAAAAGATCAAGTGTGCTTGTTAAAGAAATCTCTCTACAGGTTGAAACAGGCTCCAAGGCAATGGAATAAGCGGTTTCACAGCTTCATGAAGAGTCAAAAATTTGTTGAAAGTGGTCATGACTCATGTGTCTACATAAAGGAGGTTAGTCCGAACAACTTCGTCTACTTGCTCTTATACGTAGATGATATGCTCCTGGCTGCTAAAGAAGTTAGAGAGATTAGAAAGCTAAAGGATATCTTGAGTCAGGAATTTGAGATGAAGGATATGGGTGCTGCTAGTAGAATTTTGGGAATTGATATCAGTCGAGATAGAGTGAATGGGACATTGTGTTTGTCTCAGGCCAGTTATGTTGATAAGGTAGTTAAAAGGTTCAACATGGAAGGTGCTAAGATGGTGAATACTCCAATTGGTGCTCATTTTAAATTGTCATCTACGAAAGATGAGAATGATTCTGTAGATCTGGAGAGAGTTCCATATGCAAGTGCTGTGGGGAGTGTTATGTATGCAATGGTTGGAACATGTCCAGATGTTGCTTATGCAATCGGTTTGGTCAGCAAGTTTATGAGTAGACCAGGTCATGTTCATTGGGAAGCTGTGAAGTGGTTATTGAGGTATTTGAAAGGTTCGTCAAGTTTGGAGCTGGTCTATACGAAAGGTAAGGACTTCAGTATTCAAGGTTATAGTGACTCTGATTTTGCTGCAGATCTTGATAAAAGGAGATCGATCAGCAGTTATGTGTTTACAGTGGGTGGAAATGCAGTTAGTTGGAAGTCAAGTTTGCAAAATATTGTGGCTTTATCAACTACTGAAGCAGAATATGTTGCTCTTACTGAGGCAGTAAAGGAAGCAATGTGGATTCGAGGTTTGCTTGAAGATATGGGTTTGAAGCCGAAAAGAGCATCAGTTTGGTGTGACTCTCAGTCTGCAATCTGTCTGTCGAAGAACAATGCTTTTCATGAACAAACGAAGCATGTGGCGACTAAATATCACTTTATAAGAGATGTGATTGAAGATGGAGAGGTGGAGGTGAACAAGATTCATACTTCAGAGAACCCTGCAGATATGCTTACAAAAGGCATTCCTGTAAAGAAGTTTGAAGCAGCTTTGGAGTTCCTGAAGTTGCTCAAAGAATCTCACTGATGAGGTGATGATGTGCCGAGGTTAAGTCCAGGTTGTGCAGTTTACAGGTGAAGAAAGGAAATTGAATCAAGGTGGAGTGTTGAAGTGTTCCGATTCAATTTCTTAGGTGGTTAAACCGAGAATAAAGAATTTGAACCCGGTTGGCAATTGATTCAATAACCGGGAAGGAGAATGTCAAAGACTCTAGTCGCGATAGAGGGTTTGACGGTTATAACGGCTAGTTTAGTCAAGATTAGTCATCATCTTCTTCTTTTGTTGATTCATTGTATTCTCGAGAGAGTGAGATTCTGTGTGAGAGATAATAACTCCATTGTAGCTCAGTTCGAGCTTTACCTTTATTCATTAGTGAATTGCCAGATTGAATCGGCCCCAGACGTAGGCTTAATCACATCGATTAAGTTGAACTGGGTAAACAAACTTGGTGTCTTTGTTCTTCGGTTATTCAAGTTTATCGATTACAATCTAAGAGTGAGAAGAAGAGTTTTCGATCTAGTGAGTGATCAAATCGAGTTTGAATCTTAACAAAATCTCTAAACGCCTTAAAAGCCTTTACAGGATACAGAGTTGTGTTTGTATTTGAAGTCTATTGTATCTTGTTTGTTTGATGTTTTTTTCATTTTGTGTGAATGTCTAGATCTAATGCCCCTATTAGTAGGCAGTTATTTATGCGTGAGATATTGTCTTTTATTGTATCTCAAGGTAATTTTTCATTCTTGTGTCGTTTTGTAGAATGCAGAGTCATCACACTATGCAAGCAGTTTCAACCAGCCTGGAACGTATACACTTTTCGGCGATCTTGCAGATTACGGTGGTTATCCTTCTGGTTTCTCATATGATCAATGGCACGAGCCTATCTCGGCCGTTCTTTCTAAAGTATGTGGATATGATTATGAGGACATAATGTATGCTGAGGAAGCTGAAAACATGGTCTTCGATCATGCCAACGATGGAGGTTCTCTGAAGGAGGTTTGTGATGAAAACAGCCATGTGGATGGTGGAAATTATGGGGAGGCTGAGTCCACTCGTTTCATCTATGTCTCATCTACAAATGTGATTACATGATTTGGTTTCTGTTTTGAGTCTTGTGTCAGATATGATTGTACTGAAGTTTTGTTATTGACACAAATATACTCTTGTAGGTAGGTCTAGTGGTTGGTGCTGTGGTGGCTTTAAAGGTTTTTAAGCATTTAAAAAAAAAATAAAAAAGGATAAAATGTTTATGGAAGAACATGTTGGGTATATAACCACGTGGCGGCATTTAATTGAAAGAAGCTAAAGAAGTTTTTGAAGGGCATTGAATGTGATGCGCTGCCTAACCTCGTTTTGGGCCTCCGAAGATTTTTTTTTTAAAAAATCAGTCCATTAAATTAATCTATTTAACATTTTAACAACTCTTAAAGAGTATGAGGGATGAACTTAAAAAAAGGGTTTTCAATTTTTAAGAATGTTAAATTTAATATTAAACAATATTTAACAACCCCTCATGAGTATGAGGGGTGGAGATGTTCTAATCTCCATCAGCCGGGGTCTACACTAAAACATTCTCAAGTGTATCTGGTGGCCAAGTGGAGCAGAACCCCAGACTAGAGGGCAAATACATACTCAATCCTTTCCCAAACCACTGGGATACCACTACTTGGTTGAGTTTTATTATTTCTCTCATTCCTCTAGAATTCTTTGTTTGAACAATTCTTTTTGTTGCCTGATGGGATTCGATACAAGCGCCCTCTCAACTCCTTGGATCTTTATGGTAACTTATTGGTTCAGACAAGATATTGCTTCAAAAGGTAGCAGTTACATATAACCCACCAAATTACACTTTAAGTCACCAAAATTATGAAATTTAACATTCAAAATCATGTATCTTACCTCCAAAAGAATAACAAATATAGGAAATGTCCATGAATCTGTTTCGACGACCCCATTGAAGTGCTTCATTATATGATCAATATCCTTGAGATTCACATCAAATGAATACTTCTCCAAAGAAATGTTCTATATGCATCAAGATCATCCACAATTCTCAGAAAAAAGAGTCTACTGATGGTGCTCCGTTTCTAGTCTTTGCTTTTCCACTAATTATGCTTGCTAAAAAGTACACAATACACATTTTCAACGGATTTGGACCACCACACATCTTATTTAGCTTTGCTTCAACAACAGAAAGTGAAGGGATAATTCCTTTCTTAAAATACATAGACTTAAATGTATTACTACCCATCATCTCATAATTATCTGGATATGCATAACAGTCTAATCCAGATATAAGTCTATGTTCCTTAAGCGAATAGCGAATGGAAGCCATTAACTACAAACTAACATTCTCTCCTATTATCGATCTTTGCTGTGCAGTGAAAGAGCATCCACATGCACTGAGTTTTATGGGTTATTATGCATGTGCCAAAAATGTTTGAATTGAGAATGCTCTTTAAACTATTTTAGCTTATCGAATTTCAGTCCTAAGACTCCGACTCTAGTTTCTCCACTGTTTTGTGGATCCAACATTGTGTTCTTAAATTGATTGCTTTGTGATACTGAATAGGACTAAAATACATCATCAACGGTTGTATTGGCTGGTCTTCCTCCTCACTATGAATTTGTGTCCGAGTTTTGAAGAAGTATACCATGATTCTCACGTTAATAATTCACATAACCATTGTTACCTAACTTTCATATTAATGTCTAAAATCCATATAGATTTACATTCAGATTTAAAGAAATCTAATGGTGGTTGCAATTGTTTTGCACATCACCATGTTTGACTAAGAGTTATTGCGATATGTGGTATAACAATGGAAGCCTGTATCTCTACGTGAGAATTAAAGAAAAAAAAAAAACAAAAACCAGAAAAAATTTCAATCTTGCTGAAACCAGACATTCGCGTCGCGGACAAAAGAGACGATCAGACCCCATTTGTCGTCGAGTCGATACAATAACCAATCCAGGCACAATTTTTAGCTTAGGAATCCGAAAATGAGCGACCTTCACACGACGCCTAAGAAACCCAAATTGAAAAGAGAAGTCGAAGAAGAACAAGAACAAGAACAAGAAGAAGACGAAGCTAATGTCTCTTGCAGAGAAGAGCAAGAACAAATCCTTGTCGCTTTAGTAGATCACCGTTCAGATGAAATCGAGCGTCTTAAGCACCACATCTCTAACTACCAAACCAAGGTTTCTCCTCAAAGTTTCCACTTTTCGTTTTCTTACTTCCATCTCTGGATTATTCAGAAATTTAAATTTCAATGATTGAATCGATTTTGGGTTTTTTTCTCAGCTTATTGAAGCAGAAACAAGTTTACGAGTTTCAAAATCTAAGTTAGCTCACCTTCGTGGCCATGATGATGGAGTTTCAAAGAAAAATAAACCATTGAAGACTCTTAGAAATGTCAATGATGATGATGAATCTAGCAGAAACTTTACGCCTTCTAGGAAAGAGAAAGACTTTCCATCTCCATCACCTAGCAAGACCCTTAAACCCTGTGATAGCTCTGATCCTAGAAGTAGTAGTAGTATCTCCAAATCCAAGGCCAAAACCGTTGTTGTGAAGCAGAATTCTGAAACATCTTCTCGTGACAGTCCTATAGTCAAAGCTAGCAGAGATCGAGATAGAGGAACGAAGAGGAAATTTGGTAACCTCTTTGAACGTTCTCTTTTTCGTTTTTTTGTTTTTATCGGGATTTTGCTCTAACTTCTGGTTTTTGTGTCTCAGAGCAAAAGGAGCATAAAGAGCTGATTCGGTTGATAGGTAGAAACTCTTCACCAACTACAATCAAGTGTCATACTAGCAACCAAATCTCTAGTCAGCACAAGAGGAAGTTAAGAAGCTTGATCCTGTGTCCTGTAAACGAGCAGCTGTTTGCAACAAGGTACAAAGACTACAAGACCTATTAGGCTTTTGTTGTATTTGAAATGGATTCTGGAATCTGATAATCTGTCTTCATGTTTTCATGTACAGTTCTCTGGATGGCATGGTTAGTTTATGGCAACTGCAGTCTGGAAGGTGAGTTTTTTTCCCCACTTTAGTTATTCTCTTGTCTGAGTGGATTGTATAGGAAAGCATTTGCTCCATTGATTATAAGTTTGGGACTAACTTCTTCTTATTAGAGTTGAGATTTGGTACTTGGAAACTTGTGGTGCTTTGTTAGAAATGATGACTTGTAGCTACTTGTTATAGGGATTGATCTTTTGGGTTTGGGGACTCAGATTTGGATAGAATCATATGTATAATAAACATATGAAACTCAGATTTAGTATTGGGAAGCTTGATAGAAATGCTTAAACTTAATTAAAATAAGAGCTAACGGCTTAGTATATTTGCATTAAGACCCTAGTTTTTGTTTCCTTTTAAGGTTGTGTATCTTTTTGTTGTCTATATTATACCAAATAGAAGGATTAAACAAATTATATAAGCTTGTTACAATGATCAGGATACTTAGTAAACAGAACAAATGGAGCATATGTGCTGATGCATTGTATAGAACCCCCAGCTTAATAACTATCCCAATTTGGATAGAAACAATGTAAAGAGCCTCACTAGCCTTTCCATGTAGGGAATCCATCCGTTTTGTGATCTCTAATGTTTTTGTGCGGTCTATTTAATCGCAGATTAGGTGCATCATTGCTTAGTACCACAGACTGTTTATCTCGAAAACAAAGAAGATGGGGAGAAGATATGGCCTGGCACCCATCTGGAGACACCATTTTCTCTGTATACTCTGCAGACGACGGGGATTCACAGATATCGATCCTAAATCTGAACAAGACACGCGGGGTAATGTTACTGCGCCACATTTCTGATATCAAAGAAAAAGACAACAGTAAAAGCTACCATTTTTCTTTTGGAAATCGCTCAAACTAGATACTTGTGTTTTGTGTTGGTAAAGGTTTCTTTCCTGGAGAATAAACCTCATGTAAAAGGGATTATCAACAACATAAAGTTCATGCCTTGGGAAAACACATGCTTTGTCACCGGAGGAAGCGATCACGCTGTTGTACTATGGAACGAGAGTGATGATGAAGAAAACAAATGGAAGTCGAAAACTTTACACAGGAATCTACACTCAGCTGCTGTAATGGGAGTGGATGGGATGAGGAACAAGAATGTTGTTTTATCAGTTGGAGCGGACAAGAGAATATATGGGTTCGATGTTCAAGTTGGTAGAGCAGACTACAAGCATCAAATAGACTATAAATGCATGAGTGTTCTCTCCAATCCTTGTGACTTCAATCTATTTATGGTTCAATCCGGGTAAGAAGAACTTATTCATATACAGTTTTATTTCATTGTTTTCCTACTTGTGATTTCTTTCACTAATAACGAATCTCGACAATGTAAATGTCAGGGAACCGGAGAAACAGCTTCTACTGTTTGATATCAGATTAAGAAAAACTGAACTCCATTCGTTTGGGTGGAAGCAAGACAGTAGTGAATCACAATCAGCTTTGATAAATCAGTCTTGGTCTCCTGATGGTTTATACATCACTTCTGGTTCAGCTGATCCAGTCATTCATGTTTTTGACATCAGGTAACATTAATGGCTCTCTGTCTATTTGGTTCAATTAAAGATTAATTCTTAACACACTGCGTAGGAACTAGGAAGTGAATAGATCTTTTGGTGGATTAGCATTGGATTAAGATTGAGGGTATTGTTGTGTTCAATTGTGGTAGGTATAATGCTCGTAAGCCGACACAATCGATAAAAGCTCATCAGAAACGAGTGTTTAAAGCGGAATGGCATTACTCTCAGCCACTTCTTATCTCCATATCTTCTGATCTCAACATTGGTCTGCACAAGATCTCATGACCACTCTGAGCTCTCACACGTCTCTGTTTCTCATTGCTTATTATCTGAGATTACAGGTTCAAGAAACCTATATAGTAAATTAAAATGAGTATTATTTACCATCTCAAATAGATTATAACCGATTCTTAGTTTTAGGTACAAACATCATTACATGTTGGATTGAACTAAATATTGTCTTTACTCTTTACCTTCAAATTTATATAGATGAATCATTTATTATCATTATTGCTATGCTCTGCTAATATCACCTCTTGTAATTGTGATTTCACAAGTATTGATTGATTTACCCAAGTTTTCTTTTAGTTCTTGAAAATTTTAAATTCAGAAGCAGCAAAAGCAAAGAACAAAAAGAAATATAAAAAAAAAAACTCAAACGTTTGGTCAACAAAACAAAAAAAAATACTCCAATTCTCTCTTCTTCAGTCGTCAATTTGAAGTTCGCTCTAAAGCGAAGTGGCTTCAAAGGGTTTAAGAGACAGATGCAGAGAATCTCCATTTCCATCTCCGGAATCAGAAGATTCTGCGTCACCTCTCTATCGTCATCCTCCGCTTCAAATCACGTTACTCTCACGGGTAAAAATCTCTTCTTTTTATATCCGCATCAGATATTTTCCGACAATTCCATGTCTGGTGTGTTTCTTAGGGTTCTACTTTCCTGGTCTGGGTTTGTATGAATATCATGAATCTCCTGTTTTCTGGGAATTTGTCTCCAGATTCTTGTTCAACGTTTCTCTCTTTCGCGTCCGTACTTCCGAAATTGGTGATCTTACCATACGTTGATTCCTGTTTGATGATTTGTGCTACAATTGACTCTATAAAGTTTCATGCTTTCTTCTTCCTTTTTATTGTAGATCATCGGGTGTTGAAACAACTTCTTGAATCATGCAAAGCTCCATCAAATTCCAAATGTGTTCTTCAAGCACATGCTCAGATCTTTAAACTTGGATATGGAACATACCCATCTCTCCTTGCCTCCATGGTTACAGCTTATAGACGCTGCAACCATTCACACATTGCTCGCCGGCTTCTTCTTTGGTTCCTCTCATTGTCCCCTGGCGTCTCCAACACGAACCTAATCATCGAGAATCTCATGAAAACCGGAGAGTACGGTTTAGCTAAGAAGGTTCTACGCAAAGCAAGTGATCTGAATGTGATCACTTGGAACTTGTTGATTGGTGGTTATGTCAGAAATGTACAGTACGAGGAAGCCTTGAAAACTCTTAAGGATATGCTTAGTTTCTCGGATATCAAACCGAATAAGTTCAGTTTCGCTTCCGCTTTATCAGCTTGTGCTCGTCTTGGAGATTTACACCATGCGAATTGGGTGCATTCTCTGATGATTGATGATAAGATTGAGCTCAATGCGATACTGTGTACTGCACTTGTCGACGTGTATGCAAAGTGTGGAGATATTGAAACCTCGAGGGAGGTTTTCTACAGTGTTGAACGCAACGATGTGTCTATTTGGAACGCGATGATCACAGGTTTTGCTACTCACGGACTAGCCACAGAAGCGATCAGAGTGTTTTCAGAGATGGAAGCAGAACATGTCTCACCAGATTCTATAACATTTCTGGGACTTTTAACAGCGTGTAGCCATTGTGGTTTGCTTGAAGAAGGGAAAGAGTACTTTGATCTAATGACCCGCCGGTTTTCGATACAGCCAAAGTTAGAGCACTACGGGGCAATGGTTGATCTTCTAGGCCGAGCAGGAAAGGTAAAAGAAGCTTACGAGTTGATAGAATCAATGCCAATAGAATCTGATTTGGTGATATGGAGGTCTCTTCTTAGCTCATCAAGAACTTACAAGAATCCTGAGCTAGCAGAAACCGCTATACAGTATCTTACGAGAGCAAAGAGTGGAGACTATGTGCTGCTCTCGAACATCTATAGCTCCACAAAGAAATGGGAGAGCGCTCAAAAGGTCAGAGAGTTGATGAAGAAGGAAGGAATTCGTAAAGCGAAAGGAAAGAGTTGGGTGGAGTTTGGAGGAGTGATACATCGGTTCAAGGCAGGAGATACATGTCATGTAGAAACAAAGGCTATATACAAACTATTAGAAGAGTTGATACAGAGAACCAAGTCTCAAGGTTTTGTGCCAGACACGGATTTGGTGTTGATGGATGTCTCTGAAGAGGAAAAAGAGGAGAACTTGAATTACCACAGCGAGAAGCTCGCGTTGGCGTATGGGATCTTGAAGAGTAGTCCAGGATCAGAAGTTAGGATTCAGAAGAATATAAGGATGTGCAGTGATTGCCACAACTGGATAAAATCAGTGTCGAAGTTGTTGAATAGAGTGATTATAATGCGGGATCGGATACGGTTTCATAGGTTTGAAGATGGGTTGTGTTCTTGCAGAGATTATTGGTAAGAGAAGAGAGATTGTCTACAAAAGCTATATCTGCATTCTTGCTTTTCCGCAATCTCACACAAAGGTCCAGTGAAGTTTCAGTGTTGATAATACATTGTGTTGAAGCATGAAGCTGGCGTGCAAAGATTTTTGAAAGTCTTCGTTTTGGTCCTACTGTTGAAAGTTTTTGAAGGTTGGTTTCGAGGTTTTGCCCTTTGGGATTTTTTTGGGGAATTCTTACAGTTTTAGGGACTAAATTGTAATAAATAGTGTTAAAGTTGGTACTTTGTTCTCAAGTGTTTTGACGTCTGTTCTTAAGAGTTTATCAATGGGTTTCGAATTAGAGGGTATTAAGTAAAAATTCAAAACTGTTAGAATTGAAAAAAATCCGACCTGCCGGAATCGAACCAGCGACCTAAAGATCATCTGTTGTAAACAACTACAGTCTTCCGCTCTACCAACTGAGCTAAGGTCGGTTTGTGATAATTGCATACAACTATTGGTATATGTACTAATTCAAGGCGATTACAACTTCTAATTTCATCAGAAAAAAATAAAACCAAATTAGGAATTTCTGACGTGGCGAGTTAGAATTGGGGCTGTGAGGAGCACACTCTTCCACATCTTTCTTGTATACTCTTTATCATCCACATTCATCATGTCCACTGATCACACCACACTTACTTTCTCGATGGCAACGATGCACGTTCCTCCGGCGACGCTTTACGCCGGAAAACCCTCGGCGATCTTAGCTCCGACGACTCCAAATTTCCTAAGATCCTCTTTTTTGCCGTATTACTCGATGAGGCTACTCAGCAACAACAAGAGACCTCTTTTCTCCAAATCTTCATCATCCTCTGCTCCCAGATTCTCCATGCGTGTCTCCTCCAAGCAGGCCTATATCTGCCGTGATTGCGGGTCTCTTTTAAGTTTTAACCTCTCTTTCTCTTCATAAATCTCTAACATACCAATTTTTTTTTTATTTATCATCACTTTTCTCTTGATTTGCAGGTATATTTACAATGACAGAACTCCATTCGAAAAGCTACCTGACAAATATTTCTGTCCAGGTTCGATAATTAAACTCAAGAATCGTGAAGAAAGTTCTTTCCTTTGACCAGTTTTCTATGAGTTTATGTTTGGTTTTCAATGGAGTTTATTGTGTGTTTTGCAGTGTGTGCTGCTCCTAAGCGGCGGTTTAGACCGTACATGCCTGATGTGAGCAAGAACGTCAACGACAAGGATGTGAGAAAAGCTAGAAAAGCTGAGCTCCAAAGAGATGAAGCCGTTGGGTAAGAAGAAAAGACTCTCCTTTTCTCATCAATTTTACATCTTTTGCCACTCTGGTTCTCTTCTCTCATATGTAATCTTATGGCAATCTTACACAGGAAGGCTTTGCCTATAGCAATTGCAGTTGGGGTTTTAGCACTCGCAGCTCTTTACTTCTACGTCAACAGTACAACATGAACGCTGCATCACAAAACTTACATTCTTGCTTTTGCAATCAAAAGTTTTGCTTTTGTATTAACCATTCATCTTCGAGTTGTTAGACATTGTAATCATGTCAAAAGTATTGAGCTTTCTATGTACCAAAAGCTGATATGAATAAAGAAGGGAATTGTAATACAGAGGTTACAGAAAAGGGGTTACAAAAATGGCTAGTCTTGCAAGACGAGTGATCCTTGAATTGGTTTATCAATAGAAGATTGGTAAAGGATGTTCAAAGCAGACAAGTTTTCACGCTCGATGATGTCGCTGGCTTGAACTCGTATGGACCTTGCTTTGGCCCCCAAACCTGCAATGTCCCAAAACCAATGAGATTTTTATTTCTTGAAAACTTATGATGCTACAAGTGGACAACGGTGAAAAGATGGGATGAAACCTGGTTTCGATTCTCATCAAAGCCGCGATCCCAGAGGTGTATCTCATTGTTTTTTAGGACCGCGAGATCCGAAGTACAATAGCTAGCCCCGTTCTGCAATCCAAGAATGAAAAACTTCAATGCTTCATGCGTGCAAGATTTGTAAAAACCAAGATAAAGAACATACCCATGAATTTGGAAATCCACCAGGTGAAGTTGAGCCTTCGTACAAGCAACGTTTCCCACGGTCACAGCAACTGAGATGTATAGTTGTCAACTGCTCCCCAATGTCCTATTAGTTTGATCCATTGTATAAGCTTGATTCCAGTAACCAGAGAGCTCTTCACATCTCTATCAATACGAAAATGTTAAGACTTACACCGATAACTTCTTCAGGAAGCGGACGTTGGTCCTTAGGACGGTCACAGAAGTTTTTGTACTCCTCGGCGTCTCTGATCGCATATGAACTTACCTAGCATTTAAACACTGCTTCAATATTCTATTGTATTGGAATACATAAGAAGTTCACAACAACAGCTCATATCCTCACCTCAACATCACATTTCAGCTCTTTAGAACAAGGCTTAACCATGTATAATCTCTGGAACCGAACCAGAGGCAAGACAATGCGTAAGGCGTTAGCTTTGGTTCAAATTGAATCAAACAAGAGAAGCCATGAGGGAATGAATGCATACTTGACGAAAAGGTTTCTGAGGAGTTCTCCAAAATGCCTGAGGAACATGAAGAAAAACCACACTCATATAGGAGTGTGTACATACATCGATCTATGTACTTGCAACAAAGAAGTGAGAGATTTTACCTGTTCGAGATACAAAACCTCTGAACCATCCACCATCTCAGCAGCAGGGCAACTCAGCATTCTGCAAAACTATTTCAAACTCAGATACCAGAAACGAGATAGAGCCAGATATCAAAAGTTCCAATCTTGAAAATGATTAGCATTATTAACTCAAGAACCAAGTTCCTAAATAAAGCATCAAAGGTTAAATTCTAGAGGGAAGGAAAATTTCTACAAAAAATTTCCAGTCTTGAAAATGATCAAGAACATAACAAACCTTATGTTGAAGTAATTCTCAGGATCCATTGACGCTTGCTCCCTCGAGAACTTCAAACCATGAAAACAAAAACCTCAAATCAGAGACACCCACAAAAAAAAAAAAAACCTTTACGCTAAGACACTGAAATTCACAGGCCAAAACCAGAATTTTCCATGATAAATCAAGAAAGTTGAGGAAAGATATAAGTGTAAGCATTGAAATTGTGGGTTGAAACCTTTTCTCCGTTGAGAGAACGAGAGACGAAGCGAGCGTGATCTCTACGAGTTGTGGATTTAGTGAGACGCTTGAGGAGAAGAACGCCGCCAATGGAACAGTAAAAATAAAGAGATAACCCCTGATCTAAAGAATCACCGAGATTCTGAAGATTAGGTGAATACTAGAACTAGGAGGAGATACAGACGTAGAAGGACCACAGTACCAAGATTCGATGGTAATTTGCTTTAATGGCGTCAGAGATAAAAGACAGAAAAGAAGAAAGATGCTATTCTCATTAACCATTCCAAAAAACTAAAATGCAGTACAAATAGTGTGACGTGAGGCACAGCTACAGCACGTGACTCTTGAACCAAAAGCAAACTTGAAAACCAAAGCGAAATGTAATTAAAACGGACTTAACCGAGATAACCGATAATTATTGAAAGTGAGTAAAGAGACGATGGGTAGCTGAAGGCGATTCCTGTAACAATACTTCCCCCTTCAAGAACATCCTTGTCCTCAAGGATGAAAATGAGGATACTTGGCGGCGAAGTCACGGTAGAACTCCCAAGTTGCCTTGTCAGCTGGGTAACCTTTCCACTGCACAAGAACTTTGGTGACAGGTTGGTTCTGACACTTGACCATTCTCGTCTCCAGTATAGCTTCGGGTTCTTTATCCGTTCCCATGTCAGTAAGGTACTGTGGAAGAGCTGTCGGGGTATCAGGAAGATTAGGACAAAGCTTCAGCTGACTCACATGAAATACATTGTGAACAGCAGCATCAGAGGGGAGGTCGAGCTTGTAAGCGACCTGGCCGATACGATCTGACACGCGGAATGGACCGTAGAAACGTGGAGAGAGCTTGTGAGGCAGGGATCTATTCTTGAGGGAGTGCTGGCGATAGGGTTGGAGCTTGAGGTAAACGAAGTCCCCTATCTTAAACTCACGCTGGGAGCGATGTGAGTCAGCGTATTGCTTCATACGATTCTGTGCTCGGATGAGGTGAAACTTCAGCATCGAAATGATCTCTTCACGCGAGCGTAAAGCGCGGTCAACCGTATCAGATGAACTCTCACCAGGGAGATAAGGTAAATGAATAGGAGGGGGTTGGCCATAGACTGCCTCGTAAGGGGTGCACTGCGTTGCTGAATGGAAGGAGGTGTTATACCACCATTCGGCCAAGGGTAACCACTCACTCCAAGTGTGAGGAGCATCAGCCGTCATGCAGCGAAGGTAAGTCTCCAGTGTTCTGTTCGTAACCAACGTCTGGCTGTCGGTTTGTGGGTGGTAGGAGGTGGAGTACTTCAGTTCGACGCCGTGGACGCGGAAGAGCTCAGCCCACACCGTGCTCAGGAAGGTCGGATCTCGATCACTCACAATATCCTTGGGCATGCCGTGGAGCTTAAAGACGTTGTTCAGATAAGCGGTGGCGACATCCAAAGCTGTGTAGGGATGTGAGAGAGCGATGAAGTGAGCGTTTTTACTCAGTCGATCTACCACAACCAGAATGCAGTGTTTCTTTGATGAAGGAGGAAGGCCTTCGATGAAGTCTAGACTGACGGATTCCCAGATGCTGCTTAGAATGGGGAGGGGTTGGAGTAAACCCGGCTTTGCCGCGAAATCATACTTATTCTTCTGACAAACTGAGCAGTTCCGTATGTACGCCTGAGCCTCATCGGCCATTTTAGGCCAGTAGAAGAGTGATTTGAGGCGGCGGAGTGTGGCATCGCGTCCAGAGTGTCCACCAGTTGGGGAATCATCAACCACTTGAATATCTGAAGTTTGAGAGAGGGGCTATTACCGATGACCAGCTTACCTTTCCGGCGATGTTCCCCATTCGTGTAGGAGAAAGTCGGATGAGAAACCCTGTTGGTTTGCAGCTCCTGGATGATGCGCTGAAGCAAAGGGTCTGTTTGCCAGAGGGAAGAGATGGAGTCGAAGAGCTCCAGATCGGAAGCTGATAGTGAGATATGGAGGAGCTGTGAACCGGTGACACGGGAAAGCGCATCCGCCGCGACGTTTTCTTTACCCTGCTTGTAATGGATTTCAAACGTATAACCCATCAATTTGGATAACCACATGTGTTGGAATGGGGTTGACACCTTCTGATCGAGAAGGTACTTGATACTCTTCTGATCGGTCTTGATGATGTAGGGTCGGTGTTCCAGATAGGCATTCCAGGTATGCACCGCGTGTACTACAGCAAGCAGCTCCTTCTCGTAGACAGAGAGCGATTGATGACGGGGGGCCTAAGGCTCGGCTGATAAAACAGATTGGGTGATGATCCTGCATCAACATCGCTCCAATGCCCGTATTGGAGGCATCTGTTTCAACAATGAACGTTTTCTCGAAGTCTGGAAGGGCCATGGTCGGAGAAGAAACCAGAGCAGCTTTAAGACAATCAAATGCCGCTTGAGGATCATCGGACCAAGAGAATCCTTCCTTTTTGAGGAGGTTGGAGAGCGGTTTAGCGATGATACTGTAGCCCCTGATGAACTGGCGATAGTAGTTGGCCAATCCGAGAAAGCTTCGCAGTTGCTTCTGGGACTTAGGCGCAGGCCAGTGTTGTATTGCTTCGATCTTCTTTAGATCGGTGCTGACTCCTTTGACCGAGATGAAGTGGCCAAGATATTCGATAATTGTAGCACCGAAGGTACACTTCGAGGGTTTGAGGAACAACTTCTGCTCCCGGAGGATGGTGAAGACTGAGGAAAGGTGCTGAAGATGAAGCTCCCACGACGTACTGTAGACCAGTATATCGTCGAAAAATACAAGCAGGTACTTTCCGGATATATCGCAGAAGACGTGGTTCATGAGATTCTGAAAGGTACACGGCGCGTTGGAAAGCCCGAAGGGCATCACAAGGTATTCGTAGTGACCGGCGTGCGTCTTGAAAGCCGTTTTGAAGATATCATCGGGAGACATTCGCAGCTGGTGGAAACCGGAGCGTAAGTCGAGCTTCGAAAAGAAACATGGTCCCCCAAGCTCGTCGAGGAGATCCTCCAGCAAAGGAATCGGGTATTTATCTTTGATGGTTTGCTTATTCAACCCCCGGTAATCAACACAAAGGCGCCACGAACCGTCTTTCTTCTTGACGAGGACGATGGGGGACGCGTAGGGGCTTGAACTATATTGGATGATCCCCTGTGTGAGCATCTCCTTAACCATTTTTTCTATGACGTCCTTCTGTAGTGATGAATAGCGGTAAGGGCGTTGACTGATGGGATTCGAGCCGGTTACCACGGGTATCTTGTGATCAAATCCTTCCCGAAAGGGAGGGACCTCGGTTGGCTCGTCGAAGAGGTCAGCGAACGAGCTCAGTAGAGCTTGCATCTCAGGATCGTCGGATTTATCATCTCCGGTTGTGGAGATATGTGAGAACATAGCTTCTGGAAGAAGAGGCGAGGTATCATAATCCTCCTCCATGTCTCGAATGCGAAGTAGGGCTATCTGAGGACCCTGAAGGAGAAGCTTATTAAGGCGATCCCCCT